CAGAGATGTGTTTACTCTTAAAACAGAGTACACCCACTTGTGACAGTTCAGGTCTCATACATGTTTTGGTCACTGGCACTTCTGTTTGATGTAGGTTGTGCAGCCGCCATGTCTTAACTTAATAAAAAATGACTATGACAGCACAGTTCTCCTCTCTGAACTCCACTGTACATCCTAGTTAGGCTGCACAACAGCAGTGTTTCCTGCACCCTCCACCACAACTGAATTTACCAAAGATTTACCACAAAATAATGGCAAGAAAACACTTCACATGGGCTACACACAAACTATAAAAAATATACAGTGCAGTCCAGTTCACGAACAAATAAGTTATTTTAATAAATTGCTCAAGACTTACTTTAAATTAGTCTGATGAATCATTCACTGAATGAACTCAATGAATCCATCAAAGCGGTTACTGAATCAACATATGACTAGACTATAACGTCTAGTAAGAGTCTCACAGGCTGCATGTAAAAATAAACATACAGAGTGAGCAGTGTAATCCAATTCACAAACAAATGACTCTTATGAGCAATCCTTAGCCTAAAAGAATAGTTAAAAAACGCACAAACCAGTTACCTGTTTGAATCAGTTTGACAAATTCTTCACTGAACATACATACATCTGCCGTTCAAAAGTTTGAGGTTGGAGAATATGCATTTAATTGATCAAATACAGTAAAAACATTTATATTATGAAATATTATTACAATTTAAAATAACTGTTTTCTATTTTAATGTATCTTAAATTTTCAGCAGCCATTATTCCAGTCTTCAGTGTTTCTTATTGTTATCAATGTTGAAAATGGCTGATGCTTAATTTTTTTGTTGTTGAAACCATGATTATTCTTTGATGATTAGTTGAAAGGAAAAGCATTTATTTGAAATAGACATGTTTGTAACTGTGTAAACATTTTCACTCTCTTTTGATCAATTTCATTCAGCCTATATTCGGCATCATTGCCAAATAAAAGTATTCATTTCTTTCTAAATGTATATATTTATATAACTGATCAGCTTACAGTTATTTTTATGCTACTTTATATTGCAGATAGGTGTTTCTTTTCATATTATTTGAATCTATTGTAGTAATTATAAACACAGCAAAGTTTGTATTGCAAATAGTTCACTGGACTTTTTTATTCTTCTAGTTATTTACCTATAACAGCTAATGAATCAGAAGCCTTGCCCATTCACAGAAAATTGCTTACTTCAAATTATTGGTGTCATATACACCAGTTAGTTGCTGCTTGGTAGAGCAATATAAATCACCATTAGGACTTCTTAGTGCCTAAGAGGTATGCCGCTCACTAGGTTTTGAAGTAGAGCTAACACTAGAACTCAAGGAGGAATTCAAGGCATGATGGGAAAAAAAGAAGTTCAAAGTCATCACAGCTGTGAAATGGATCTGAGAAAGACTGTGAACATGTCAGATTGTTAGTGGCAGAGTGGGCAAAAGAACACAGACTCCTCTGACCATTAATGTCATTATTCTCCTGACAAAGGTACGCTGGGGATGAAGTTCTGGCTCAGGGCCAGTCTCGCGTGTGAAGCTCAGCCAGGAGTTCAGTAACGCAGCCAGCTCTGATCATCAGTGAGTGAGGAGCCTCATTCAGCGCCCTGGCCACAGAGTACAGCAGTACGCATTATAGAGGCCAAGCTATGAGTGACACAGAGCCGTAGATTAGCAGAGGATAATTCCCATTGCCTAGTGAACACTCTGACTGCTGACCCTGTTTCAGTCCCTATTGGAAAGGGAACAGGCAATGGTTTGGCTCTTTGATATTTCTACCAAAGTATTTGTGCTGACATTCCAAAACCTTGTTGAGTTGTTAAGCAGAAACAGAACCATTCACTTTTCTCCACTTTCAGAGGAATGTTCACAGGCCTGAAACATGCCTGTGTCATATAAGTGAGCCTCTCACTCCTCCTTCTCCTTCTCCTCCTCCCCCAGCTAAAATCATCCCTCCATCCCCCACAACCTCTCAAAGAGGAAATATCTGCTTCACGGGCTACATGTGAAGACTTTAAGATCCACCATGGCTGTAATTAAGACCAGTGAAACATAACTTGGTGTCGACTCAGAGTGCCACTTTACATCAAAGACTGTCCACGTAAGCATTTGATCCATTACTCAAGGAAGTGGTGGAGTTTAGATGGAAAAAGTAAATCTAAAGCCTCAGTGGGTCTTGTAGAAATACACAGTCAAGATTTCAAAGGTCACACATCAACACTGATGTCATTCTAATACAATTGAAACATTCAGAGCTGAAGGAAAATGTATAAAGGAGTCACTTCAAATGGAATAGTTCAGCTTGTCTCAGAGCAGATTAACTCATAGGTTCTAATAAGTACTGAATCTGAAAACATGTCTTTCTATTGGACTGCAAGCAAAAACATACAGCATTCAAGGTAAACCAATTCATGAACACATTCATGAACAAAAGTCTTTCGATGAGTGGGCCTCATGGGATGATGATAACTCTTATGAGTTGTTCTTGAAATGAATTGTTAAAAAAAAAACTTACAAACACATGAGCCACCACTTGAATCAGTACGATGAACTCGCTAAATGAAGCAGCTGAATCAACTGAATCTGATTCACTAATGAGAAAACATTAATTCTCTGAATGAATTCGTCAAAGCAGATACTGAACTAACATTATGAATTAAGTTCATTCAATTGTCTTTTGCAGTCATATCCAATCAAATTATGAATTTCTATTCAATGATTTTACTGCATCCTAAAATGAATAATAATAATAATAAAACAACCATGCAAACTGTCAGATAAATAGCTTCCTTTACATGGCTTTCTGACTGAGTACAAACTAGATTTTTTATTGTTAATGTTTTTTTTTTCCTATGTAGTTCATTTGTAGAAAAGCTGACACATTCCACTTGATTCCAAGGAGAAAGAGAGAGTGTGGTGTCCAAGTTTAGGCTCAGATAAATAAAGCCCTGTGCTAAATGCCATCGCTTGATTCCAAAGAAACGCCTTTTTCCACTGAGAGCCTCATCAATGCAGACGTCACTCCTTTGCCCATGGTTGTCTATATAAAGTCTTTGGAAGTCTATGCAAAATTGATTTCCCAATTTTACCTCTGTATTTATTGTTGGAAGAGTAAAGCTCTCCTCTGATGTGATGTTCTCTGATGTTGGACAGGCCCTGGGGAGAGCAGCTTCATCCTATTTGTCAGCTTTCTGGGGTGACCCACAGTACACTCTACTCTACTATCACTCTGGACACTCGCCTCAAGCTTGCATAGTCTTTTGTGAGGAAATAGAAAGGCCAAAAGATACACAGTACAATACACAATTTCCCTGAATGAGCTGATCTGAAGACTGGCATGTGAGTGAATTAGTACCACCCTCAGCACAGCATGTGCTAAAAGGGGAATGAATAACTTTTCATTTAGCTATAAGCAAGATTTTCAATGAATAACTTACATTTCGGACAATTACTCACGCAAAGCTATTGGACAGCTTTTAGAGGGCTTGGAATATAATAAATGGCTCATCTGGGTTGATTTTTTTATCTTTTTGGAGGCTGACAGCCACTAGTCCTAGTCTACTTTGGTTGTATGGAAAAAAGCCACAAATAATTTAATAACAATGTTCAATGTAATCTTCTGCAAAACTCTAAATAATAGTTATTGTACATTGTAATGTTTTTTATGCCTAAATTCATATAGACCATATAAAACAATTTATTTTAATTGTTATTTTTATTTAGAATTGTTTTTTAAGAAAAACATATTTAAACTATTAAAGTGCCCCTATTATGCCATTTTTAAGGTTGCTAATATTGTTTTACGAGTTTCCTAAAACAGGTTTACATGCATGCAAGGTCAAAAAGCACGTTAGTTTTCTCAAAAAATAGATTTAATTTGACCTCATTTCTAAATGATTCGTAAACGACTCGTGCAAAGATCGAATTCCTGACAACTCATTTAGGCGATTGCGAGCCGACTCTTTTTTTTAAAGACAATAACTTTATTTATCGTGCACTGTCGGCTTCACAACTTTGCGGATAGTTTATGTTCACATACAGCTACATGACACACTGCATAAAAGGTAATATTCGAAAAGGCATAAATAGGGGCACTTTAAGAGAAAAATTTATTTTTAGATTACTGGCTTATCTGTATTGGCTAGGATTTTAATATTGCTGCATTGGTAGTTTGGAGAGACATGAGAGTTAGAAGATGATTGAGTGAGGGGGTGATCTGTCCCTTTAAATAAAGAAAATGTCAAACATAAGCAAACTGCAATTTCCCTGAATGAGCTGATCTGAAGACTGGCAGGTGAGTGAATTAGTACCACCCTCAGCACAGCATGTGCTAAAAGGGCAATTAATAACTTTTCATTTTGCTATAAGCAAGATTTTCAATTAATAACTTACATTTCGGACAATTACTCACACAAAGCTATTGGACAGCTTTTAGAGGGCTTGGAATATAATAAATGGCTCATCTGGACTACTTTTTTAAAATCTTTTTGGAGGCTGACAGCCACTAGTCCTAGTCTACTTTGGTTGCATGGAAAAAAGCCACTAATAATTTAATAACAATTGGCTAGAATTTTAATATTGCTGCATTGGTAGTTTGGAGAGACATGAGAGTTAGAAGATGATTGAGTGAGGGGGTGATCTGTCCCTTTAAATAAAGAAAATGTCAAACATAAGCAAACTGCAAATATTATGGGGAAAAAAATGATGGTCATAGAAGCAGGTTCCCTGCAGGTTTAGAAGAGTCTAGGCATGACTCACCACTCAATGCCAGTGAGGATTTGCATAGAAGTTTAGAAACTAACTGCGCTGGCATTATGAAGTATGAGAATATGCCAAAATAGTTTATAAGCCAATTATATTAACTATACAAACCTACCGCTTTGCAACATCAAGTTTCTGTCACATTTTATCATTTGGTCCAGACTCTGCTTGTTAAGTTTATTTAAAAAAAATATAGGCCTACTTGGAAAGGAAACAACGCTCACCAGCCCGTCACAGTTGTTAATGGCGACAGAGGTTCCAGGCACATCCGTGATGTCCCCTATAAAAGTGCAGTCTGTTTTCAGCAACTCCCTTCTGAGGATTCTCTCTGAGTGGGTTCCATTTTTAGTCTCATTCCCAGCTATTTCTATCTCATCGTGCCATTCCACCATGGCTCCTGGAGCCACTAATCTTTGGTTGGGATGTAGTCGGAGGTGGAAATCCTTGCCAAAGACAGTGATGTTAAAGAACAGTCTGTCTACCGCTTGCGTTGACCCTTCCAAAACCTCCCGCTTCACACGCTGCTTGTGACTGGCCGAAAGAAGATGCGAGAGGTAGTGTCCCTCTGCGTCGGTACTGATGGGAGTAATGAGGCCATATTCTTTCAGACGGCTCTTCAACGAATCTGATAAAACATAAAGACACACATGTAGAATTTCTCTTAATTATATTAAAATTAATTAGAAAACATTCACATCTCATGCCACTTATAAATGCATGCTGGATTTCAAGTCTTGACACATGAATGATGGTTTGCATGAGGGAAAACATTTCAAATCGAAAAATGTGCCAGAGACAAAAGCTCTTCGCCTTGATATTTGTCATGGCAGTTTTGGCTAAGCAAGAAATAAAACTGTTTGCCTCCCATGACTGCCTGTTTTAGGGCTTATACAAAAACAAAATAATTCATTCAGTTTCTTCAAATACATGTTGAGGTCAGCCATCTAATATTGAGACATCCTAACATCTGTTCAACACTTCTTAAAGAGGACGTTTGAATGTGAATTCCTTGTATAATTGAATAAACGTACACTTTTTTAAGCATTACATTTTAATCAATAATGTTTACAATAATACTGTCATTTCTCATTTGTCATTTACAGCTACTAAATTTAGTGAGTTGTCAATTTCAACCTGATTTACTGCATTGGTAATTAAATTAAAATCTGAATGTGGCTGAAAAATGCAATGAACACATCACTGCAGGTTATAACTTTGACACCATTTTCAAATTTACAGGATCAAGTAAGAGTTTTCACAGTGTACAATTAACTTCTTGAAATTCTCCCACTGTTCAATAAAAAGAGAGAGAATAATTTCTTTAGTTAATTTATTATAAGTCTAACTGACTAAATACTAATAATAAATACTAATAATACTAATGTATTATCCTGTGCAACTTGCGTGTCACTCCCAAATTTAATTAACAAACTATTAAAGGTGTTAAAGTCTGTTAAAAGTTCTTTAGAGATCGATTTGCATCATCTCTTAGGGTACACTTAGGGCTTTTTCTGTACTGACTGTTAAACAGTTCTGATTAATTTTCGAATTAAAATATTTGTCATTAAACATTGAGAGGAGATGCAAGTGATAACAGTTAAACCCCACATGACTTGGCAGAGTGTGACTCTAGTTTGCACTTTGCAGCTGTCTACATAAATTATTAATGAAGCATCAAGTTATAAAAGGACTTTTTCACCTTTAAAATACGTTTAAGAAACAAAAAGAGCATACAAATAGCAGAAATTTTTGAGGACCACAAGGCTGTATTCTTTACCTTCTTTATCTACACTTTCACCAGCCTGCAAGAAAAAAAGAGAACAAAGAGACAATGCATGAAACATGCAGCCAAGACATTTACAAAGCATCTGAAAAAGTACCATTGGTGGAAACCAAATGAATGTAAGAGTATCCAAATCTGACATTCAACTTTCAATTTCATTTGTGGCAAGCCTTTTTAACACATATTTTTTGTTAATACTATTTGCTAAGATGTAACCCAACAGTGACAAGATAGTGACAAGTGGCAGAGGAACAAGCAACTCGTCCATTGTTGTTGTGGTTCTGATATCAAATATTCCAACAAGAATGTGCTCCAGCTGTAGTACTTATTTTACATTTACTAGTATTAGGTGCCTGTACATTTTTGTTATTTCTAACCATCCAAATAGTTATCTATTTCATCTTTACTGATACTTATTATAATGATACTATTACTAGTTACTAACTAATTACTAATCAGAATGGCTACTTTATATTTTTTGTAAAGTTAAAACATGTTATTTTTAACAAATAAATACTAGTATACTGGAATAGTAACTAAAATAGCAACTAAAAAGTAAGGATTAACAAATTGTCTGAAGAGTTATATGGGGCAAATGTAACAGTTACTAGTTACAATTACTCAACAAGTACTACAATTACTCTACTTAATTACTCAACAAGTGCTACAAGTACCTGATAAGATACTACTGAACTCGTTAAAGAAATACATGTGAAAACAGCTTGCCATATTTCACGTGTTTTCTGCCATGCCAACTTTTCAGACACTTTAGCCTTTGGTTTGACAGGTGGGAACACTCTCCTAAAATGCGCACGTTTCTCTCTAGTATTTGGTTGTAAGTAGCCTACTATGCATAATACGGACAGACAGCACAAACTCAATATAGCCTACTGGTATAAATATTCTAATAGCCGGCTTAAATTTTAGTCAAACTGATATGAATTCGAATCGTGTTCCAACGGGAGGGCGACTGTCGCATCTCCCGCGAGCTTTCACTTACACATCACTTTTAATACAACTTTACGTGCATAAACAGTAAATCATTAACACTTACCAGATGAGCTGAAGTCACACTTACTATAACTCCTACCATTAGTAACCTAAGTGACAGGACAACCATCACGAGTCGGGTTTTCTCAATTTAAAGACGAGAAACAGAAACTATAATCCAAAATTGGATGTTTCAATTCGCGCCCGTCTTCTCTAAAAGTGTCGCGCACTACTTATCCTCAAACAAGAGACTTTAAAGGCTGCTTAAAGGTAAGCAAAGAGTAATTAATAGAATTTAAAGTTGTAGAACTTGGGTCAGTGCCTCAGTTTGGTAAACTTATAGGAAAGACATCCCTCTGAAGAGTTGTGGTGGATAAGTTGAGTTGAGCTGGCTGGACAGAGCCTTGTCTGAGCTCTAACCTGGCCCTTCGCGCTGACTAATAAACTACAGACCAGCCCTGCAGTGACGTCATTTTCTACCCTTTCCCAGGAAAGCACATGGTGGGGGGAAAAAAGAAGAAAAGGAATATGCAAAGAAAACACATGGCGATGCTTTTCTCAAAGCAAGCTAGTGTGAAAACGGGAGTGAACATAGTCAAAAGAGGTCTGAGATACTCCTACAGATTATTAGCCTATTACTTGGCAGGTAATAATAGGATAAGGTCATACTATTGCATGGCATTAAATGTCTATAGATTTGATTTCAATACATGTTCATGAGGTTAAAATTTATTTGGTGTTCATTTTTATAGTTGACCTGACTTTTCCAGTGACTTGACTGGCTTTTATTAAAACAGAGATAATAACAGCTCACAGTGCTTGAAAATTATGTGTTCTGTTTTTTCCTCCCTCTCTGATGAGGAACAGAAGGGAGGAACAAAGCAAAGAAAAGGTTACAATCCTCTCCCATCTCAATCAATGTATTGTTTAATGACCTTCTACAAGGTCTTTATTTCAGCCAACTTGTCCAAGACACAAATACCAGGCAATGCAACTAATTTTTGCTGTGTTATCATTTCTTTATATGATATGAAATAAAAGATTATTACTGTTTGGAGGAGAGTTTGGCTCAGTTTCCAGTCCTGAGTGTAATAACACAACCTTTTTTTTCCAGTTTTTCTTGACCTCTTTGTGGTCTGATTGTGTATCACAAATTTATTTTTTAACACATATTTGCCAAATAACATTGGGCTACTACAGTAGATGTTTGTCAGGCATTTACTTATATATAAGATTTACATATATCTTACCTTAGTTTCTCATCTTCCACACTATTCCAGGACTTCCTGATGTCTTCAAGGCCATGGGTCAGTTCAAATGCCTTACAGGTGAGTTTTAGGTAATCTGATCACCTTCACATCTGAACACCTCATGTTTTCCCTCATCCCTATTTAGGCATGGCCTCCACTGTCTGGGTTCGCTCCCAGACTATATCACTCAATAATAGCCCACGTTCAGTGTCGACTGTCTACAAAAAAGCAGTTTCCATATGGTGACATTTTTCATGTCTTATAAACACATACCAATTTTCTTATTTTAACCTAGGAATATATGTGTGTATAACTGTAAAATTACTGTAAGATATGAAATTAACTCATTTATTTAAAAACAAAGTTATTTTGTGATATGTTTGTATGTATTTCTTGAATAAAATATCTGATACATGTGATTCTCCCGTGGGAAATGCTCATAGAACAGCAGTATTCCCCTCTCCCCATGGTCCTAAATTCTGGCTTCTCTCCAAGTGTTAGCAGCAGACTGGTAACAATACAGCTGGAATTTCATATACCATATGAAATTCCAGCTGTATTGTTATCGTTGATTAAAGAGGTGCTCGGAGGTCCTGAGAATCTGTCTGCACTCAGGTCCATGCACTCTAAAGCTTTTATTGGAAGGTAAAATTGAATGTCAGCAACCCTTTTGTTTCGTGCCTCAGCTTTGATTCTCTCTCCCCATGGTCCTAAATTCTGGCTTCTCTCCAAGTGTTACCAGTCTGCTGCTTAAATGGTATATGAAATTCCAGCTGTATTGTTATCGTTGATTAAAGAGGTGCTCGGAGGTCCTGAGAATCTGTCTGCACTCAGGTCCATGCACTCTAAAGCTTTTATTGGAAGGTAAAATTGAATGTCAGCAACCCTTTTGTTTCGTGCCTCAGCTTTGATTCTGTAAAGCCAGACTCCGGCTGAGTAATGAGGTTGTAAAGTGGTCAATGAAACAATAAACTGTTTGCAACTGTGCTGACGTTAAGAACCATACTGTTCATGTAGGGCACTTCTTAAGTTTGAGGCCTGTCACCTTGCCTAATGTTTCGTCTTTCAGCCAAGCATTCCTCAAGATCGTTTTAAAACACAAGACATGAATGAGTAATATTACCAAAAAACTGTATGCAATCAGTCATGCATTTTGTGGTTAATGCAAAAAGAGGAATTTAGTCAGGGCCATTTCCAGCAACAATTCGGTGCTTTGTTTTTTCAAACAAGATGCTTGTGGTTTGTCTAATGTGTGACACAGTGACCAGACCACAAGACCACACCAAACAGCAATTTGTAACGGAATGACCTTTCTTACATCACAAAGGGCATTCTGATGGCTGTGAAGTAGGTATTTGAATGTCACGCTGTCCACTTGCTGCCATTCCATCTTTGTTTTTAAACAAAACGTTAGGAGCACAATAGCAACTGATGGCATGCCGAAGTCACAATGTGCATCTAATTGGTGCTTTGACCCCCTGAGAGCTGAATGGTAGTTTTTGTCCATGCACATCTTTAAGTTAAAGAAAAGATACAGCAATAAAAAACTGCCATGTAAAGCCTTTTCACAAAGGGAAGGACAATACATTTTGACATTTTAACCCTTACTCGTCCTATTTTGAGGGCAAGACTATTTTTACGGCCCCATTTATCCTCTGGTGCTAATCTGTATCGTTACACACACACACAAAAAGCAAAATAGATTGTAACTGTATAACGTTACTTACAATCATTTTTATAACTTTACAAGGACATAGTGAATTTTTAAACTAATGTTTGTGTTATGCTGAAATTGTATGTGTATTAACTCATAATGCAACATCCATATGCATAATTATATCACATCAATGATAAAATTAAAATCCTGTAAAAACCAACTAATAAAGTCTATTGCAGATATATCCATACAAGAAAATAACTATGGTTATAGACACACAGTCAACTTGCTCTCAAGAGTTAGCTCAGCTTTGACTGTTCCAATAAGGCAAACTTCTTATATATAGCTGCTAATGAGGCATCTATGTATATATGTCTCAGTTGCTTTCAGTAAAGCTATCTATCTGAAACTTAGCATATACAGACTGAGTTACCAGCAGACTGCTGTCATGATACTTAGAAACCCACACCAAACCATAACAACTGTGCTAACAACACCTACCCATCTAGCTGTGCAGGAATTCAATGCGAGACTGAAAAGATGTCAACCACTAAATGGCAAAACACACACACATACACATACACTTATTTTGTCTTATTTTGTTATACATATTTATTTATCTGTGCACTATACTTGCATTTTATGTCTGTATGTATCATTACTTAAAAAAAAGCCTTTTATGTAACATTATTTTAATCATTTCATTATAATAGTAATACTTTAAACACTTAATAAAAATTAATAATAAACATATTATTATAAAGGTGAAGTGATACATTCATTCATTACAATCACATTATGCTGTATGTATTATTTTCTGTCTTCTTATATGTGGTACACCTCAAGCATTTAACTTCCTCTTAAACTCTTCATTTGGTCTGTTAATACATGTGATCGTGTTGTGATCTTTTTTTTTGTAAATATTTTTTATTGAGTTTTGACATATACAATTACATTAACATCAGTTGTGGCAGGAGATTGAGAACATCTATTGCATGCAGGGCTAACATTGGGGTAAATCTTGGCTAATTTGGAGTTAGTAAAATTAAGCCTATGAAGAACCTTACATTGAATTAATCCATCCCTAGCACAAGGTGAGGAGGAGTGCACCTGTTTTAAAGCGTCTTCCCACTCTCTGTCTGCAATTTCTCTGTTCACTTTCACTTTGCCAGGCGTTACGAATGTCATCAATGTTCTGCGGGTTTATAGATGTTATAATAGAGTATATGGTTGAGATGAGTCCCCTGCTATGAGGGTTCAGATCAAGCAGTGCCTCGATAGGAGAGGAAGGTGGTATTCTTGGGTAAGAGACAAATATCTTCTTGATGAAACTCCTAATCTGCAGGAATCTAAAAAAGTGGGACCTAGGTAAAGCAAAATGACATCTAAGATCTTCAAAAGAGCAAAAAGTATTATCTAAGTATAGATCTTTTAGGAGCCTAATCCCCCTCTCTTCCCAGACACAAAAAGCAGAGTCCATATAGGATGGTGGGAATAGACAGTTAGAAACAATGGGACCTAGAATAGAAGCTGATTGTAAACCAAAATGTCTTCTAAATTGGGCCCAAATTTTTAGAGTGTGAGCCAGTACAGGATTAGGGGAGGATATATAATTTTTCCCCATTAGGGGGAGTGAAGAGCATACTAGGGAGCTAAGTTTGAAGTTAGTACAAGATTGTTCTCCTTGCACCCACAAAGGGGTGTTTGGAGAATCTACATCAGAAAACCAATAGATTATTTTCTGAAAGTTACTTGCCCAATAATAAAATAAAAAAGTAGGTAGCGCCATCCCTCTATTGCATTTTAATCTCTGTAAGAAAGTCTTCCTAATGCGAGGGGTCTTATTCTCCCACAGGAAGGAGGCAATTAAACTATCCAATTTAGTAAAGAAAACTTTCCTGATAAAAATAGGAATATTTGAAAATAAATACAGAAACCGAGGAAGAACAGACATTTTGATTAGGTTGGTGCGACCTGCTAAAGACAAGGGAAGAGAAGACCATCTCGCAAAATCTTTTTTACATTGATCCAAAAGTGGGCAAAAATTTGCCTTAAACAAATTATAAAATGACTTTGTTACTTGTACACCCAAGTATTTGAAGCCCTCATGTACTATTCTAAATGGAATGGAGGAGGAGTCTCTACAGGAGGTCGGAGTGATTGGGAAAAACTCACTTTTACTCATGTTAAGCTTATAGCCAGAAATATTGCCAAATTCTTTTAAGAGCGAAATAATTTGAGGAATTGAGGAGGTTGGGCTTGTTACATATAATAAAACATCGTCCGCATATAATGAAATTTTATGCTCCGTACCATGTCGTGTAATACCTTTGAAATTAGGAGACTGACGGAGCGCAGCAGCCAAGGGTTCAATTGATATGGCGAATAACAAGGGAGAGAGAGGGGACCCTTGCCTGGTGCCCCGTTGTAAGGAGAAATACTCAGAGTGTACATTGTTTGTGCACACTGAGGCAACCGGGGAGGTATATAACAGTCTAACCCATGAAACTAGGTCTGT